CCCCATCAAATTATACAGGATAGGCCCCTGGTACAGTAACAAAAAGTTTAACTCAGATAAACACGAAGATAATACTTTGTTAATTCAAAGACAACCAGCAATATTTTTATTTACCATGCATACATGCAAAAAATAAGTATAAGTCCCAACACCAAGTGCTGAATATTTCCATCTCTGTTTCAGGTGGTGGTACCGGCTTCATAGGTAAACATATTGCCAGAAAGCTCGCAGACAAGGGGCATGAAGTGACCCTGTTATCAAGATCAACTGGAAGGGGGAGATTAACATGGGTAAAAAAAATTGAAAGTTAAAAAGTTCAGATAATTATTATATGTATCAGATACTACAATGATTTCTAAAACACTCATAAAGTATAAGAATTTGTCACTCCTCAGCTCACCTGAATCTTTGGGCGTACAGTACTGAAGATAAAACCACAGTAGTGTATACCTGTGAAATAATCATTACAGCAAGATGGCTATTTTTCCCTAGGATGAACTGTACAAGAAGGGTCTCCCTGATAACACTGGGGCAGTGGTGAATGTGGCCGGAGAGAATGCACTAAATATGTTCAGAAGGTAAAGACTGCTGGATTGTATTATTTTTGCAAAAATAGTTTTGGGATACATCTGTGTTAATTTTGAGTTGACAGAAGTAGTTGATTTTATCTTGTTGTAAATTCAAAAGCCATATATAGACAAAAAAATTCAGACAGATAAGATTGTAAATAGTTGTTCTGTACAGCACTTTGAATTCTTTCTCATCCTATATCAGGGGCGAAGCCTACAAGAAGGACATCATTACAAGCAGGGTTGATACAACTAAAGCTTTGGCTGAAGCCATCACTGCAAGTAAAAATCCACCCAAAGTTTTTGTGAGCACTTCTGCTATTGGTGAGTTCAGTAAGAGACAACTGACCCTTGCTGTCACTGATAAACCTGCACATGTACTCAAAGAGCCACTGACACACCCTTCCTCTGAAATATTCTGAAAGCAGTTGCACTCATGCTCACATCAGTAAACAATGGATGCATGCACGTACGCGTGCACACACACACACACACACACACACACACACACACATGGATAAAAGTGAAATTTCAAAGTTCTTTTTGCATATTTTCATCTATTTTCAATTTAAAGAGACATAGGTTTGAAGTAGTAGTTACATTTGTGTGTTTGCACACATGAACATAGGAATAGTGTATGTACTTACTACCACAAGTTGGATATTCATTCGAAAAACATGACCTTAAGCCTGTGACCATTGTTTAATGCTCACTTACAGGTTACTACCCTCCTAGCAGCGTGGCAGACTATACTGAGGACACCAAGGTGACAGGCATTGACTTCCCGTCAAAGTTGTGCCAGGACTGGGAGGAAGCTGCAGTACTTCCTGAGGGCAAAGGTGTCCGGAGAGTGACCATCAGACTTGGTCAGTATCGAGAACCAAAAACTACAGATTGTCTAGAGAATATTCTTCTTAAAACTGTTAAATCAGATTACTTTGATTTGATTATAATGTTTTTTACTCTTAGAGGTGTGGATAATTTGGTATTATTTAAAAATTCGGCATAATATGGAGCATCTAAAAGCATCAGGAAAACAGCAGTGTGGTTTTATGATCACTTTTGGTTCACTACCTTTGTGTTGCAGCCAAAATCAGGTGTAACTGATTTTTGTCCTGTAGGGATCATGCCAGGCAACTTTTTATTTATTAACATATAATGGAGCACAAAATGTTGCCTTTTTATTCTAAAAGTGTGTCTTGTGTATGTTCTTCAGGTGTGGTACTGGGGAAAGATGGCGGCGCTATCAAACAGATGTGGTGGCAGTTCTACTTTGGAGCTGGCGGAAAAATTGGAACTGGACGCCAGTTCTTTCCATGGATCCACATAGATGATGCTTCTGGGTTGTTTGTTTACAGCATCGAAAATGACCACGTGTCAGGAATTCTGAATGCAGTGGCTCCCCAGATCTGCACCAACGAGGAGTTTACCAAAGCATTTGCTGGAGCTATGAGAAGACCTGCTTTCATGCCTTTCCCTGCTTTTGCAGCCAATTTGATTTTCCAGGATAGAGCCACAATGTTATTGGATGGACAGAAGGTTATACCTAAAAGAACTCTGGAACTGGGATACAAGTTTAAGTACAGTCACCTGGACGATGCATGTAAGGAAATTGTTAGTTAGTGAACTTTGGGAGGAAGAAAAGTTTATCTAGACTTTAAGATAAACCCAAACTGGTTTCGGTCTTTATGCTATCACCAGTTAACCACATTAAGTAATTGATTTTACTTATAAAGATTGTCCACGGCTGCCCTCTGTGCTGTCATTTTTATTTTAAATTCTCTCAGAAGCCTGACATAGCACCTTGGTTCAGTTAGGATAAAACTGACGTGGCTTTGTTTTTATATACTCAATCACGCACATGTCAGCATAAGCATTTTTGTTATACATTTTTATGGAAAAAGCATTCAGTCGATGCCTAAATGAGATTTTGACATTACTATTGAATTTTTGTTTGTTGGTTACCTTGTCATTTTTTTCAAATATTAGTAATTTTGTGAAAATTTCACTGGAGATAATTTTCTGTGCATTTTTTTGTGGTTCATGCTAACTAGCTGTAGAATGTGATTTTATATTTTTGTCATGTATTGCCATTGCTTCATGTATATGTGGTGTTAAGGAGATAAAGATTGATGAATGACATTTAGGTGAACAAATTAATTTTCCAGTGTTGTCTACTGGAATGGTAACTGATAATGAACATGAGAAATAAGGTCTTAACTTGGGTTGTTTGTATGGTACCCATTAGCTCTTTTTTTGCCAAATACTAGTACCTACGTATTAATGAAATATGTACTTGGTTCATGTGTTTGTACACTTTATAAAGCATGTATTTAGATCTGCAGTCAAATGACTTGTGTGCAATAAGATCTGAATGTTCCAATCCAGCTGTAGTTCAGTCTAAACGCACCGTTGAGTGGACTATATTAAAAAAAAAAACCTGATTGGACTGGTGAGTGTTTCTAACATTACAAAATACTGTTGACCAATTTCAGTTTCATTTGAAAAATGTAATTTTTTATGTGTCAACTCATATTTTTCGCAGGCATTCTGTGATGCTGGGATTTATTAATTTTAATTACCTACACAAGAAAACTTACTTGGAAAATTGGGTCATTCATAGTTATAAAACAGTTTGTTCTCATGGTTTGTTCGCATTTCATTCAATAAAGCATTCAATGTTATTTAACTTTTTTGGCCCAATTGCTAGAGGAAGGGAAGAATCCAGTCTACTTGCTACTGGTATAATTGGGAAGGCATTTATTCTTTAGTTTCTTTACATATAGCATGTCAATATTATTTAATCATTTATAACTAATACATTCACATTTACAAGAAACAGTGGCATTCAAAGCATCAATAATTACACTGTCCTTTTTAAGTTTCATAACAAGTTCGGAAAATTCATTTATGTATCATAGTAGTGTTTAAAGACTCCCATGTAAATGCAACCTTACACCTTTTCTATAGCAAGACCCATCATTTCGGTTTTCCTTCAAACAACACTCTTAACAATTACATATATCTGACATACCTCTGGTTTCAAACATTTCATTTTTTATTCAATATAATAACTTATTCTGCAAACTTTCTGTACAGCAAGATCCAAGTTGCCACTATTAGATCTTTTCAACAAAATCATAATTACAGTACATTTATTCCTTCACCGGTCCTTCATTGGACTCCATACTCTAAAGTTGTAGCAAGAATGCTCGACTTGCTCAAGTGTAAGATCCTTTATTATTTCACAACTTTTTCCACTCTGTCATCAGTTGAATTGCAAGACCAGCTTATTTTCTATGTACAAATTACATATCCTGTGGTGAAGAACAATTTGCTTCTTTTCTGAACTACGCATTTTAAGTATGCTGTGTGCTAATAAATCCCTCACCCCCCTACATTTCTCCACCTTTGGACCCCCCTCCCCAATGCAATGTTTCTGGAAAACGCTTCTACTTTATCGTTTAACTGGATACTTGTCTACTTTAAATCATACCACATCCAAACCCCTTGCCTTTTTTCAACAACAGATTAGAAAATGAAGTAAGCAGTTTAAATGGGCTAGTTTCAAAATTTGAAAAAAAAAAAAAAATGCAAAACATCTTTTTCACTTGTAAATTACAGCACTGCAAGATATCAGTGCCTATTTAATCAAATATGTCAACATCATAACAATAACAAGTATTATAGAAAGCATAGCCTAAATCTACTATCCTCTCAGGATATGCTCTTTATTAAAGCTGATCATCACCTGTATTCAACAACACAATGTGTGCGTTTATCGAGGTGACCAAGAAAATAATTAATTTGTTCCACACCTGTCGCAAGAGACTACCATATTAAACAGTAAATGCCAAATTGAATCTAGTCTATTTAATATACGGTAACAGTTATCACTCGCCTGGAACACACCACCACTTTGAAACTTTTTTCTGTACAAATGGACCAAACAGTTTTTGGAGATAAATATGACTTTTGGTTCACAATTGGCAAGTAATTACCGTTTACACATAAAATGAGTGCAGGATAAAGCATGCAGTCCTCTCTTTTATCACACAGCTTAATTTATGATGGGTCACCAGTGCTAGTAACATTTTTGTCCTCATTTGTCATAACCCTGCACATCACAAGAGAAGATTGCTTGATTACATATTTTATCAGCCCAATTGACAAAGAGTGTTTGACTTTTTAGTTCTGATGAAAGAGTGCAGAACTAGGAGGCCTACTGTTCCTACAAAACTTGTAGGACTGCTTGCCTTCTTTCAGTCTTGTGCTGACAAGTCCGGGAGTCTCAAACATTGATCAGAATGCTGAATCACATTGGCCAATCTACCTTGCAGTAATGATAATCCCCATTGCTGAACTTTGTGTAGAAAACCTGCCTCTACTACTGCTGGCTGAAAATGTTGGTTTATATGGCAACTCAGAGGTAATTTCATATCGCTGTCCCTGTATGTTTTTTCTCCTCCATGCTGTTTCAGTGAGTCACTCCCCCAGTACAGCATGCAAAACCAGATGTTTATTTCCAGCTCGTCCCTCGTGTTGTATGTCCGTTCTGGTATATATCATACAGCAGACTTATTCTTTAGTACTGTCTGCTTCCTCATCTCCTATCTCTGGGATAATGCAGAGGGACCCCTTCTTCCTCACACTACTGCCATAATACTGGCGGGAAATTACTAACCTCTCCCTGTTCTGTTACTGGCACTCCATTTACTGTGTACGCCATGCGCAGCCTCATCCTTATAGGTTGCTGCAATGGAAACATTCAACACATGATAACATGTTTATTTTAAATTGCAATTTTTAACCACCAAATCTGAAATATAGATTTTAAATATGATTTTAACTTTCTTTACTTTTTTTTTAATATCAAATATTCTATCTGTAGTCTATTGGCTATGGTTTCAGTCCTCATTGATGGTGTTCTTTGATAATAACATGTTACAAACAAGGCTCAGACCTGACATGCTAAAGTTATAAAACCATTTCTACCATACCTAATCCCTAACTGCATGGTCATCAATATTTCACAACTGTTACAATGAAAATATCAACTCTTTTGTATTACAGCCTACATATAACACTTAACCTACAACATTTCCTGGCGGCTTAACTTCATCACTGTAAGCCTTTAACTACTAGTGAGGTTAATTATTTGGTGAAAAGAAATTATATCATTTAGAGTGAGACCAGTAATTCCTACAATAGTGTCTCACCTTTTGTGGATTGTTCACTTTGACTATCTGTGTCACACTGCCACTGTTGCTGGGAGGCACAATGTTGCCAGACGGAGAAAGCATTTGTAACTGGAATGACTGGAAAAAGAAGAGGAAAGAAAACGTGATCTAAGATAGAGCCAAATATTTCATTTATTCAGGCTAGTCAGCTGAATTTTACACAAACACATTTGTTTTGTCAATAGAAATAGTTAAGATTTGGCCTGAAAGGACAATGCTGTTCACAGTTACAAAATATCAGAGTTATTTTGAGCATGCTTCATTCTGCTAAGTCTGACAAAGGATGTCAAGCTTCAAGCTTACCTTGGGCACCGCTGCTTGAAATACAAATTCTAGCAGTGGGTTCGGACTTGAGTTGGTGGCAGTAACTGTCATTGTGGTCACAGTTGAAGGAGGAGGGGCTTTCTCAAAGGAAAAGTTCAGGGAGAGTCCATCTTTTTCAAAACCAACTATGTCTGGGATGGCTGCAAGTAAAACATGGAAAATATTGTTTTAAAACAAACAATAGGGTATGAGACTGACTTTTGGGATAGCAGTTTGTATATGTGTTAAACAGCAAACAGAACCATGTCGAAAATGTTCCCTCAAGAGAAAAGTTATCTTAAGTTTTTATTTCCCTACAAATAATGAACTATATACAAAACAAAACAGTGCAGAAACTTTAAAAGGCACAGTTTTCAAATTCATCAAAACATAAATACTTCAAAGACTTATAACCATAAACTTGATCATAAATACTTAACTATATAATCTTCAACTTTATCAAGCAATTTTTATATTCGAAGCTCACACACCAAATAATCCATAGAAACAATGTTGTGTACTCACAATTCTCGTTCCCATTAACAAGTGGCTGTGAGCCCATCATATCCAGTAATGGGTTGGGTGCTGCTGCAGGCATTCCCATCAGACCATCCATCAGGGGAGGGCCGCCCATCATCATAGGGGGCGGGGCACCTGCACTGGAACCTGGACATTATGGGAGAAAAAAAATTCATAAACTGAAAACAAAACAACAACTTTTTTACAAAGCCAAATGTGTAACTGATATTACACTTCACATTTTTTTTTCATTCTTGTAGGCTAACATGGCAATTCAACAAAAAATCAGGCAAATAAATCATCTGTCATTAGTTTGTCAAACATTTAAAGATTACTGTGTTACCATATGATTTTTAACATGTCATTCTACCCCTTTTATCACACTTTAACCATTCTGCATTCCCAGGATAAATAAAGACCTTTCTTAAATTTATCAGCCCACGTGTCTTTCGCTATCGTAGATAAACACATACAAGAACCCCCTCATACCAGACATGTCTATATCTCCTAGCAGATCTAGCAGCTCTCCCCCAGTGCTCTTTGGGGGCTGTGCTGGCTGTGCTGGGGTGGCAGTGCTAGGACCCCCTAGGATATCCAGGATGTTCTGGCTCTGGAACAGATCACAGTGACATCAAACTCCATTAAAAGGTGCATTAAAAGATTACTACTCCATCATGAGCTTCTTATTTTTCAATTTTTTATGAAACCCTTTGCCTAACCATAACTTCTCATGTCATTTCCTTCCTTACTATTGCAAATTTTCCCTTTAAAATATCACTTCGGCAAACAATCAGTCTAAGTCAAATCAGTTCAAACACACGCTAACTTCACACACCTCGGTGGGCTGCTGAGTCTGTGTCGCAGGACTAGCTGCCCCGCCATTGAGTAAGTCATCTTCCTTTTCGCCCCCATTGGCCAGCATGGGTTCGTCCACCCGCGTTTTCTCCATGACGGGCATTTTCTCCAGCAGTCCTGACCTCATCTGGTCCTGAGTGCTGAACAGGGTGGAGTATTCCACAGAGCGCTGCTGCAGCTCCACACTAGTGCTACGGTTGTAGAATGCTATTAACTTCTGGATTTTACTGAAATGATGAAATTAGCTCTGTGTTTTTAAAGGAAACATGATGATGTCTGAAAGGCAAATGGATTATTTCAAAGAACACAGCTCTGTTTTTGTGCTGCTGTTGTAGAATGCTTCTATTTTCAAAATCTCTCAGCATATTGATCAACTTCTACATGACAAAAACAATATAAGAAAGTAACTGTAAGAGCAAATCAACATTTCTGCTTTTATTATAAAGACAATCACTTACAAGTATTTGCTCAACTCTTTAAAAAGTCATAAAAATCTCTTTAAAGCAAGGTTCTAAAGATTGTCAATTAAATAGGCCAAAGTCTACTTACGGCTGCGTGCTGCTGAACCTTGTACTCAGTTTCAATATGGCAGTAATCACATACTCCTTACTTGTCAATGTGGAATTGTTGTTGACTAATGCTCTCTCTAAAACATTTAACACATCTTCTTCACTGGCCTGGAAAAGATATTAGGAATTGAAATCTATTGATGGATTTCATATCATACGGGCAAATAGGAATTTTGGTAACTACAATAATTACATTTTTCTCTTTAAAGAATAATAATTCTGAGAAGATTTTTTGCCCTTGTGAATTAAAATTTAAATAAATTTCTGAAATTTTCACCAATAAGCTGAAACTGTGTAATCAAATACACAAACCCTACAGTAATCCCAAGTGTTAGATTTTATTTACTTCTATTTTACTTCTAGTATCTAAACTCACATCTAGAGGCTCGGAATCCTCAATTGACGTCCCAGCAAACAACTGATCTCCGTACTCTCCTATACACCAGGTGGCAACCTGTACAAGAGGCTGCTGACTGATGTCGTCCCGCATGGCGCGGTACAGATTCTGTACAGCGTAAGCCTGGAGGGAGTCTGCCTGGGACACTAGCTGGACAAGAGTGGACACCACATCGTCACGCACATAGTTTCCAGCCTGAAGGAGGATATTTAAGTAAAATAAATCACTTAATTGAGACTTATTGAGTCAAGATCAGCACTTCTAGCCAAATAAAACTTACAAAGAAACTGTCCAACATTGTTATACATAACGCTGCATGCGTGCACCTACATAAGTCTGGGATGGTTCAAAATATTAAATTTTACACTTTTTCACTTAAAATTTTCACTTACTGATCTTAAAAACAACTTACAGACACTTCAAAATTCATATTCCATAATTCTAATAGAATATTAACTGCTACAATGATCTACTCACTGTGGTCAACACTTTCATCACCGTGTCTATATGCCACCTCCTGTTAGGGGAATATCTGAAAAGAAACATCACATATTCAAATGTACAAACTGTCAAGATATATATGAAAGTCCAGTATCACAGTTAATGTACTGAACTACCCAAGTTAACACAGAAAGACTTGTTGTGTAACATGCCCCTGGTCAGTGTACCCTGCTCCAACACTTACTTTTCTGAAGCAGTGACCAGGTTAGAACAGCAGTCGGCTTTGAACTCTGGCTCACATTTCTCTAGGAAGGACAGCAGCTCCTTGGCCATCCCCCGTATATTATTCTGGTTGATCAAGGCAAAACACAGCTCCATTGCACGTCTGAAATGACATATTGAAATAATACCAATATGTAATGATTATAATTTTTTAACTAAAATTCTTAATTCTCACAATTTATTTCTTTATAATAATAATATCAATTTATTTTTAAGAGTTGCAGTACATTGCCTCAAAGTGCATATTTATACATTAAATAAAGATCCAACTGAATTCCAATTCAATTATCATTTAAATAAATCAGCTTCTCTCTTATTGTATTTACTTTTTTATGGAAACATCTGGGTCTTTCAGACAGTCTACGATGGTACTCCGATGTCTCTGGACTGCATTGTAATCTGCATGGACAACTCTCAGTAATGTGTTCAGTGCTACGTATCTGGAATTCAAAGATAAATAAGACATGTAGAAAGGATTTACTGGACCGTAACTATTGATCAGCTGTAATAGCTATGTGTGTGCCAATATGGCTCATAAGATTAGAAATGAAAAAAAAAAAAAAGAATATTGTCAAGTCAATGAAATATGCATTAATGAAACCTGAGCCCACTTGCCAACTTTAGACAGGTTTGTTTCTTAATCATTTTATTTTCAAACACATACAACTTCATATCTAATCTGTTGGCACCCTTGTATACACGCAAATTCATCATCATAGAAAAAAAAAAGATTTTCAAAGGAAAAGAAATAAAAAAAGCAAAGCAATTGCAGCTTCTTAATGGAATTTTGTGAAAAAAAAACTTTCTCCCAAACAAGTAATTATAACATATGCATTACAGAGTTCAAATTATAGTGGCAACCCTAATTACATTTTGTGTCTGCAATTATTACCTTATGTTTTTGTCACTGTTCAGTAAAAATCTCCCCAATATATTAACAGCTAGCACCTGGAAGAAACAAACACAGGTGAACATAAGAAAACATTCACCTTTACATGATGTTTTTCATCAGATTTCTACATCACTGTAATAGTGCACTCATGATATAATTATAAAACTTATATATTCACAAGACCAACTGGACACTCTTTTCAAATCAATGATCATTTTTTGTCTTACAAAAACATGGACGTTTAAAAAGTCTCCTTACCCTAAGTCCTGATTCTGATTCTATTCCCATGATTGTGAGGACAATTTCATATAAAATAGCATGGCCAACATTTTTACTCGTTTCTGTATTTGTGGCCACCTGGAAAGGAAAAGCTTATCATCAATAACCAACAAAAGCAACATGCTTTATTATATATTCCGATTTTCAATAATAATCCTTATAATCATATGACCAATGTTTAAATGAGTATCCCTTCTTTTGTAATCTGAATGGGTGACTAATTAAAACTAATCTTTGGATCAGAGTCGAAAAGCATACCTGTGCTAGTATATCATTCATGGCTTCACTGGCCTCAGCATCTCCCTTACCCAGTAGCCTTAACAGGTTCAAAATCCGCACCTAGAAATAGGAAAATAACAGATTTCAGTTACCAGGTCTGATACATTTATACTGCTCCTACTAGTTCCCATAGCACACATAGATGCAGCAGAATCTCTTTCAGTATTCTACTGAGTCAACATTCGTATTGACTAAATGATCATGCACATTTGGAGTCCACTTTAACTTAGAAATAACCATTCATTTTTTTTTTTTTTTTTTTTTTTTTTGCTACATTATGAGGGAAGAGGTGACATTGCGATTTCTCCTGTTTATTACTGCATTACTGGTGCTTTTTGTTCACAAAATGTCATGATAAATAGTGGCAAATGGCATATAATCATCTTATGAACTTCACAATTGACAGCTTTTTGGTACTAATTCAAGAACTAAAAAATTTTGAAAGATTAATATGCTCAAGGATATGCTTCAAAAGAAGGAATTTATCTAAAAATTGGTTGAAAATTTTAACCTAAAATTACTTTAACAAAAGATAAACCAGCAGCAGAAGATGTATGAAATTTGGCCCTGGCACCGTATTTTAAACTTACTACTATGGATCTTTCTTGAACTTAGGTGGAACAAAATGTTAAGGCATGAGTAAAGCAAAGTTTTGGGCCTCAGTTAGTCCCTAAAACTGACCCCAGAAGTATACTGACCTGTAGGAAAGGGTCACTGACCCCTGATACATCGTGTTCTGGGGAATAACCAGCCATTATCAAATTCTTCAAAATACGCACCAGCTGCGGAACAACCTGAAATGAAAAATAACCAAGCATGTATAAGATCAAAATGCTTTCAGTCAAATACTGAAATCTGTCATTGCCTTCTGCATTTGAGTTAATTTTTTTTTGTTAAGATAATTTTTCACTAAAAAGTTTAACCTTGAGAACTTTTCAAACTGGCAAACAAAAACAAATGGCTACCTCATACATGTAAAGTATATAACTCTTCAACATAGTCTAAATGTTATGTTGATGCATTTTAACTATTTATGAATCAGAATTAACAGTAAAAGACAGAATAATTTTCATAAATGGGGTTCGAGATTTTGATTAACTCACATTTCATCTGGTTCAAAGGCAAGATTTTTTTTCCTATGGTGGCAATTGCTGAACTATACTCACAGTTAAATTTATTTTAGCATTATCAACTGACTATCAAACACTACAGTTGTACAATGGAACATGTCACAACCAATATTCACCATGCTTTTAAGCATTAACACAAAATGTATATTTTCAATATCATAGCAGTCTTTGTCACATATTTTAGCAAACAGCCTTTCACTTGGGTATAACACCACAGAAGATGCACATCACATTATAAATTACAACTTCTATTCTTGTACAACATCTGTGTTAATGTTAAATTAACTAATACCCATAAATGTATTAACTTAATACATGTTTGAGAGTTATTTTCACATATTAGCTACTATTAAAACAACATGAAATAAACTGAAATGTTGTCAGTGAAACCCCATGATATCTGGTGTACATCAGCCATAGAACCTTAATTTGAAATCAAACATATGCATGATACCTAATAATACTTTAATAATGGTCTCATACTAGCAATGATTTATTAAAAATCAATCATGAAAATTTACCAAGTTATCTGATGATAATTAAAGGAAACCTACTTAGCAAGGTAAGCTTTGATCAAATTTTCAACAAATTTTTGCCAAATAAAAAATTTTTGTTAAACCGAGACCAACTACATATTGTAGTTGGTGATGAAAAATCGAGACTGCTTTCTGAAAAAATCATGCTTAAAAAGCTTCATACCTCCATAAACTCATCCTACATCAAAGTGGACATGGTATGGGAGGAGAAACAGAAAAAAGGAAAAATAACAAATCAACAATAAATATAGCAAGTTCTAGCACAAAAACTACACTCAAGCACCGACTCCTAAAGATGTAGAAGAGGGCTGAGAAAATGGTCTACTTAGATCAGTGCTCGGAAAATCTAAAGAGAAAATATGTCTATAGATCTATTTTCATATTCTCTGCAGAAAGTCTAATGATCTGTCACAAACGTGCAGCAAGAAAGTAGAGAAGCAGTAAGTATATTTATCAGTTAGAAGTTTAAACTTGACACCACGCCAATATGTAGCAGCTTTTATATCAAAGACAAGTTGCTGCTTTGATGACATCACCAGATGAAAAGAAATTCAATTTTATCACTTCCTTCAAGTTAATTTGAAGTTTAAAGCAAGCAGTTTAGCAATCAACATGACCTTTTAGATGTCATGTAACAACACTCATTAAATCTAGTAAGCAAGGCTGACGCATGTACAGGCATAAAAGAAAATTATTCACAGAAACTGATTAAGGCATTTGGTTGTACAAAATTGAAAATATCCCGATTCTAATTAAAATTTTCTGTTTCTACGTAAAATTTGGTGGCTGTATCTGAATAAAAAGTTTTATCAGAAAAGCAGTCAAGTGGAGTTTGGTCAGCCATAAGCTCCCACTACCTTCAGACAGCTAAAATACTGTTTAATCAATTCATTTTCACGGTGACATCATCAAGACATTAACATATCTGTCTGACCATATCTTACACAGCAGGTTTCACCAACATATCAATCTATACTACATAACACGGGCCAAATGGAAACCATTCACACTGATGAAAGCAAAACAAGTGCTAAACACTAATAAAGCACTGCAGCACACAGTAGGTGGAGAAAATGGGATGAAATGGGATGTCACCAACAGCTTACAAAACAACATACAATCAATGCTGCCGCAGCATGTATCAATATAAATGTCATGATTGTGCTGTGGAATAATCACATTCCCCTATCCAGTTTTTATATCAAAAATACCAACCTACTAACACCTAGACCAAAAAGATACCATAGTCAGAGTACTTTCCTACTACATTCTCCCATATAAATAGGCTGAGATCTTATACAGCAAGGCTGTTGCCAAAATATGTGCCACAAAAACCATAGCTCAGTACATCTAGAATCCTCATGAGACCAAGGCTGCCAACTTCATAATATTATATTTAAATGTTTTATACAATTCTGACCACCCAAAACTTTGAAACTAAGGTGTTTTTAAATTCTTAATGACAGTACTAGATCTATGCATTTTTAGAACCATAATATTGGCAACCCTGTGAAGCACTGACAAGTTATATTAACAGCCCTATTTTACATTACAAATAATCAAACAACTTAATCTAGCATTTTCTAACACAAAGTCAAGACAACACAGCCACAACTAGGTTGTGATATCCCTAACACAAAAGCAAAGACAACAAGGGCTATTCCACAGGTTTTCACAGATAAATCCACAAAACATTTGCAATGACAAACAGCTTCTCATGACCCGGTTTCTTTTTAATAATTAAATTACAGCAATTTGTTTGTGCATACATGTGACTGTGTGCTTCTCTGTGCACGTGTTCTCAAATATGGGGGCATGGATATGTAATGCATATGCACACTGATGTGTGTGAGTGTGCGTGTGCATGCATGTGTGTGTGACAAGTCAATGAGAGGAGCAGCAGGTTAAACAAGCAGATGCACAGGCCATCACCAAGAACTGTTCTATTGGTTGTAACTTTCCCAAAGGCAAAACACAATAACCAACAAACAACATACAATTATATGAAACACTGGATTTAACTCTGATTAGTCTATTACATGCATTAATTCTAACATAAATCACTTGAAATACAGTAATTTCTTCTAGCTTTTTTTGACGGAACAAATGTACACAAAAACTACATTATGGGCAGCCATGTTAACAACAAAACCCATTCAGCCTAATTCAAAACAGCATTTTTTTTCAAGATGAAGCACTCTTTAAACAAAAGTACAGCTGTGAAACTAAATCTGGGCTTGATTAAGGGTCTGAACAGATATCATTACATTCCCATGCCAATGAAGTTCTGCTGCATTCATAATACTCACCTTTCTAAAGTGATTAACAGCATCTATGCTTAACTTGCACATCTCTGTGATGAGACAAACTGCCGCTAACAGGACACCTGGAAAAATTTTTTTTACATATATCCTTCTTCATTGAATTCTTAGAAAATGACCCAAAAAAATTATTTTTGCAAAAATTCCTAGAAAATTAACAGACAATAAAACCTTGCTCATAGGAAATAAAAGAGAATGAAGCCCTTTTTATAAAATAAGTAGAAAATAATAATTAAGTGATGGCACCTCGCTCACTGAATTCCTGGAAGATTACGAACAGGAAATGACACCTTCCTCATAATATATATCAACCATAAGAACTAATATTGAAAAAGAAAAACATAGCAACTCAAGACATAATCTGTTGATCAGTTACATATTAACTCACCATGGTTTTTCTCATTGAGCAATGTCCGTGTAGCAGGCAGGAACATCTCCATAAGGTCTGGTACTTTTCTTACTATACACAGGGCACACAGTGCAGACTGAAAATACACTTATCATTTGTATTACTTTACCCGAGTTTGAAAAATAACCCTAGTTGAATTCCCATGGATTTCACTTATTTTATTAGGAAAATTATTTGAACTGTTATGTTATTCAATATTTGTGTGGGAGTAAAAAATCAGTATGCTTTTACTAAATGTGACAATATCTGACATAGAACTTGCTTCATGAATCATCATGTTAAGACATTACAAAAATCTGTTCTGTTTTGAAAATAAAATAATGTTAAGTTATTAGGTTGTAAGTTTGGGAACAAATACAAATCTAACCACAAATGGCATTTTTAAAATCAGAATCATTATCATTAATTTCCATACCTTCTTCTTTAAATATGCATTGGATGATTTCAACATTTTCTCTACTTCTCCTGCCAGATCTCTGCTCATTTCCACAGAGCATATGTTTCCTAAAGTACACAGGGCCAGACTGGCTATATACTGGGTCTGGTGACCCAAATCACTGGAAAATATAACATTTTCATCAACAACAGTGTTGGATGTTCTGATGAAAAACAAAACTAAACAAAACAAAACAAAAAAATACCTACAAATAAATAAATTAATTAAAAGTTAAATAACAGCAAGTACATATATCAAAAACAGGACTTGTTTCTTTTTCTAAAAAATCAATCAATATCTGCGCCAATCAAATCAATGTGATATTGTCATTAAACTCACGAAGCTCATGGAGATGTACATTTCTATGGACAGGAAACATGCTATTAACAGCTCAAAATCAATAAAGCTACACTGTGTGGAACTACTGAACATTTTCCACTGCACAAAAACCCTTACTATGTTTTATATTAATTGGATGTAAAATACAACATGTGCAACAGGCAAGATTTAATCAGTCTCAATGATTAACCTATGTTTAAAAGGCATCCAAACTGTATTTGTCTACCAAATGTGAGGTTTAATCGATCAAAGAGGCCCATGGGAGGGGCACTGATCTTCCACTTTCAAGTTTTCAGGGGAAATAAAAAAGATGTTTTTGCATAAAGGCAATCTCCAGAGCATCAGCAAAATGCACCTGAAGAAGAACAACCTGACAACACATTGTTTTATTTTACAGAACCATTGAGGACAAAAAATTGAGGTCAATTGAATATTATCATTAACAAAACAAGTATTCGAATAAATATGTCAAACTGACTAAATATATTATTATCAAAATTGTTTTCAAAGGTGGCATATTTTCTCTTATCAAAATATAAAAGGTTCTGTTTTTACTTTCTCTTTTGGGGAACATAAAATAACTGGCACTTTTTTTCCAGACAGTATGTCAATAAATGACAAGGCATATGCATCAAAGATTTTGAAAAAAAAAAAAAAAAATGGCCAGAGTGAGATTATGTCTAAAAGGAGATCCCTTGCTTACTTTTTCAGACAATTTGTCACTAAAAGATGTACGTCTGTCCTCTCATCCAGCAGCAGCATAGCACCAAGGTAACCAATACGTTTGTCTGTAAACTTGGGGGAGGCTATTAACTTCAGACATTCCAGCTGAAAACAGGCCACATTAACTTTAATAATTTACAAAGATTGTTTAATATCCAGTGGAGATAACACGCACACAAATTTCCATATGTGTATCTATGGATTTTCAATTATACTACGATGCTGTCAGAGTCACAGTATTTAGACCACGAATAGATTCAATAAAGTTCATGAAAATAGATATCACTATTAAAGAGCAATAATTATTTCCATTTTTTTTTTTACAGACAAGCCTAATGTGGAGTTTACCATGCATAAATACATTGTATTGATCACAGAGACAATGTGATATAATGAACCAACTTTATCCCACTTTCAGTCGATTCAACCAAAATGAATGGATGAATGAAAATTATATGAAGTAAGTAAGTAAAAAAACAAATAAGACTTAATTGTTTTCAAAATTACCTGTCCAAAGTGAGCCGGATACCCCAGCATGTGTATATAGAGAAGCTTGGCCACATTCCTACACCTGTACGTATTGTCCTCTTCCTTAAAACAGTCCCTGATTTGTGCACATTCTTTATTCACCACAGATCGCTCTTCTGCTGCTGTGCGTGCTGAACGGATCTCCCGTATTAAATCCCGAAGCCTCTTGGGAGCCGGCATTTTGTTGATCTGGAAAAAATCATTATTATATTATATCATATCATATCATATCATATCATATCATATCATATTATATTATATTGAAAAATAGTGTGGCAAAATGCTACCACCATTACGTGCAACAAACTGAGAAGATTCATTGTTTATCACGTCACTTGAACAATAGAATAACATTAAACCAAATCCTTGGCATTTTCACTCTCTAAAAATGTATTCATCTCTGCTTCGCCCTGATATGTAATCTGTTCAGGCAACCCATGCTGGTCCTTTGTTTTCAAGTCAGTTTTTTTTTTTCCCATTACTAGTACTAATTTATTCTGCGAAAATATTCATAACATTCATATCATGACAAAGTCAATGTTCAATATGAGGTAAGACTGGATTCATTCACTCAGAGACAAATTTTCCATAAACTAAAAAGTGCATGTGGTGAGTAACCACTGTCACAATATATTCTCTGCAATATGTTATCTAAATTAAAGCAAGCATTCTAATTCTTGCTGTCTTTCTCACTTATCAATTTCTTTAAATAAGCACAATGACATCCATTGACCCAATTTTCCTCTTGGAAAAAAAAAATAAAAATAAAAATAAAAAAAAACCTTAACCCAGCAGCAGTGGTAAAAATCCTTACTGCCTAGTACTTTAATATATAATGTGTCTCTGTCAGTGTTTTATACCAGTGCACTAAGTGTAACCTGTCACCCATACCTACCTATACCTGCTTTGTTTGCCAAACCAGCTCTGTATGCTAATGACACAGCTCTGGATAGCAGCCAAACCTGACAGCATCTGACTGCACCTGTCCGAGGGCAGACTAAAATTGTTTTTTGTTTTTGTTAAAATGGACTCCAGGCAGCCTTGATCAATATGTTCAGTGATGTTCACAGTCTAGCACACCTACAGTATGCAGGACAGGTGATGGCCATTACTCAGATGGTCAAACCAGATGTCCGTTTTCCTTCCACGTCAGTTTTATAATATGATGGTCACTGTTTTAGAGTTGCGTCTTCTCATTAGTGATACCATGGCATACTCAATGATGATACCACTTTACCAATAATGAATGAGAAGTAATGCCAACATGACTAATACTTATGTATTCAGCCTAGTTGATCTAAAACCTAAGGGAAGAATACTTCACAGTCAGCAATTCCATATTATTTTTTCCCTTATATTTCCACCACTGGACACAAGGGACTTATCAGTGTAATATAAATATCATGTGTTGTTACATTTATAGCCAGATCTAATCATCAGTTCCTAGTGTTGCTACTAATTCTCTCCATATAAATGACAGTGCGATTCACTGAGAGAAGCCACCATGTAATATTTACAATACTCAAAAAATAACACAATTCTCACACAAAATATTCTTTGTGAGCATCACGGTTTTGTCCAGAGCTGACTATAACACCAACATATCTTAATCTAAACAGATAAACTACATTTTTTTAAAGTCTGGATTAGCACATCTTCCAACAGTCAGCACAGATGAATGTCAATGATAGCGGATGATACCAACTTCTCCCCCCCTACCTCCTCTTAAAAATCTTAAAACTTCATCCTAACACACAACCATCCCTACATACCTCGTTCGCCATTGCACAACCTACCATCTAGCCCTTGCCTGGGCCACGTAACTTCCTTGTTGTGCCACAATGCAAATTACACAGCAAGACTCTGTTCAACATTAAACCATTGTCAAGGCATATGTATATCATAATAAGACATCGTGACTGAACCTGTGGTCTTCAACACAGTGGAGGCAAAGCTTTAGTATGGCACACCAATACCATAAGGAGACGGACACACAAAGGATGTTATCATCCGCATAATATAAACTAAACTGAGGGCATGATAAATGCATTAGTGGATCAAATCATCAATGAGAGAGATGATCATTAATATCCCGTCACAGCCACAGTGATATCCCAGGTACTCATTCCACCTACTTCTGCTGTCGTTATTACTTAATTAATTATCACTGACAGCACCTTGCTGGTATCATTTCAGAATCCATTGTTCTTGGCCTAGGCTGCAGACATTCATTTTAGGCGTGTTAACAAAAGGACCAACTATGACCTGGGTTTCTATTAAAAAACAAAAATCTGGTGCAGTCTTAAAGTAAAGTCATTGAATGTTATTATATAAGGAGGCTTTAAGTTCAGGGTAAGGTGAGTTACCTTTAAAATCAATGAAATGAAACATAGACCAGTTTATGCTTCAAGGGCATACGTCAGCATATTTTTTTAAGGTTCAGAAATCTTAATTGACACCACCCAGCTAATTCACAGCTGGGTTTCAAAAATCTGAGGAGTTAAAGGGGAATAACATTATTGGGTCATTACGTGGTACAGTTCTATGTTAAGTCCTGTGTGAACATGACCAGAGTCCATATTATTTTGATTGCGTCAATTCCCAAGACTGTCTAATTTAGCTGTAGTCAATTCTGGAGGCTGTCTAATTTAGATATAGTTAATTTCAGTCTAGTGGCCTTCCATTTAGAGATCATTAATATTACCCATGGTTTTGAAAAAGTTCCCAACAGCCTCACAAATAAAATGGTAAAATTTACTCTGCTTAATGACCTGGACACACTTACTGCTATGTAAAACACATAAAATGCAAGGTTGCCTGGCAAAAGTAAATTACAAAATCACAAGGCAGCATTTTGTCAGTCATTAGATCAATGGCTTAATTTTTTCAATCACCTGCTTCATCTTAATACATTTAACTAACATATACCTGATGGATATTCTCATATCACCAGTCTTCATCCTTTTCAATCTCATTTATTTATCTTTTAGATATTATTTGTCAATATACTATTTGACCATATGCACAGTTTGGCTTTCTAGTCTTCTTCCTCTTCCAGTCTATAACTGTTCAGTACCTTCATCTCATTCATAATACTAGTAAACTTAATATGCATACTGAAGCATGTTAAATATGCCACTTCTTTAGTTGTTACACAGATATTGGATTCAATTATTATTATATTTAGCACTAATTACCATTTTGTCCATTTTTTTTCTTTTTTTGTGGAACCTATCTTTTAAATGAAAACAGGTCCATCTTAATCTCATCTTAATATAGCTGCAACTGTCTTCTCCAATCTTCTCTTTCTCAGTTGGATTATTTAATCCAATGAAACCTTAGTCAAAATAAGACATTATTTTTAGACATACAACCAAGGCCTCAAATCTCATCTAAATTGCACCCTGGTCCCATCTTAAATTTTCTATTGCAATTTTTTTTTTTTTTTTGGTCTGATGTAACCTTAAAAAGTAATTTTCAGACATGCAACCTGTTTTATGCTCTTTTTCTTTACAATCTTATAGGAAATGTCACCCCCCCCCCCTAAAAAAAAGTTTAATGTCCAAGGCCAAAAAAAGCAAATATCAATCATAAATGCCCTTTTCCTCAGTGGCAGTGGTAAAACTAATGAACTAAGTGGAAAGGCCATTCTGTTTTTTCGATTTCCCTTTAGACTATGACTTTAATGAGGCAACAGCTAATGTATAGTGTGGGTGGGTTGGTGACATTAGTGCTGAGCATTAGGTTTTAAGAGATAACACCTCTTCATATGAGATTCAAAAATTCCACAATAAAAACATTGTAAACAACACATAAAAATATAATAAATTCCACTTTATCACCAAAACAGCAGGTATCAGAAATATCCAAAAATCTGTGCTTGCCATGGGACTTTTACAAAAACACATTGAAAAAAAAATCGATTAATTCTGAATATCAGAATGGATTCATTAACCATGGGAAGATCACCGTTTACTCCCAGGAAAATACGCTTTTTGCACTTTTCCACCAAAATGAAGAATCCTTATCCCTTTAACAAGCACCCACCAACATCACAGTTTTTAAGTCCTATCACCCGTGCTATTATCTTACTAGTAGCTGAACACCTACAATGTTATATGAAAACCACAAATTAAAATACCTAACCTTTCACACTTGATCACAACTTTATAGCAGCTCTCTCAATTTAATTTTAAAAATAACTTTGGACACAGATTTATCAGGTATATTAATCAGGTAGCCTCCTAGCCACAGTGTTAGAAATAAAAGCAGGTATTATTTTTTTGTTTTTCTCCATCTATCTCTCTGCAACACAAACTTAATGAAATAAAAAAGAAAGCATACCAACTTCAACAAACTAAGAGCCATATTACCACGATCACAGCTAACCCAGCAATCTCTTCCACATAAAACTTTCAACTATAAAACCTGCAATTTTCCAAACCCTCCACTCAGACAGCATGAGATATGTGAGTCATGCACAACATGCCACGACAGTGAGGTTCCTTGACCTAAAAAAGCTGATCATTATTTGAATTGTGGTAGCTTGTAAACATGGTCTTAGACTTGCATCCTGTAAATATCATGTTGTTAAAGAATTCTCTTCATTACTTCTATTAAAGCATATGTTAACCTTATACCTTACCATACACTGTGACTGATATCAAAACAGATGACAGACGGGCACCAATTTTCAAAAATACTGCTATGTTTTTCATCGATGTCCTTCACAAATAATACTATTCAAACTTGACTCTAAAAAAGTAAATGCTAATTGAAGACAGTTTCCAGCAGAATTGGACCAACCTGTCTCACAGAGAACTCATTGCCATTAGTTCACCACTTGCAGTCTATCTAATCATTCTGTTCTTCCATAAAATTACAAAATCCTGAGCTAGCTATATGTCAGTGTCGGTCAATCATCTTTGAAATTTCACACCCGCTATCATTAATATTTTGAAATATTGCACATTGACTACATAGTCAGCAACTTTTTTATTGGAATAAGATAAATATTTGACCCTTCTTCAATAAATATTTATAACTGTGGTCTTGTTGGTCTTGTGATAAAGTCTAGGTTAGTCCCGATATGCAAGTGTTATATCACTGAGGGCATTTTATCTGGGGCAAAGTGGCATCCTCTACAAACACAACACCCCCCTAAATGTAATAATTAACAAAACAATGTACATGGTCCCCACTTAACACCCAACTTTAGATAGCAGACAGTTTCAAGTTACATTCACAATGTACCACTCACTCTGAATGAATCAAATCGGCTCAAGGTACGACATATAAAATGTTGAACCAAATGACAAAATAAAACGTAGCACAAATACATGGAACACTGGGTATTTTACAGTTACTTACTTTAATATAGCAAGACTATTTTCAAATTTTGTCAATAAACTACCATAAATTCTATACTAGCAATATAATAAAATTTTAACATGGAAAATTCTAGCAAATGCAGACTACAAAGTAGTCATTATGTGCTACACAGCCCTACTAGTATATTATGAACTGCTGTGTATAAAGCAGACAAAAGCCAACCATTAACTGTGTTAGTTGAGAAAATACAAAATTTCCCTTGATGATTATAATGAATATGGTAGATGTGTTATTTTCATTTAAAACTAAAAGAGTTAGTATCTCTGGGTATTCACTAGGTACTCTGGGACAACACATTTGTGTCAATATGGGTCCGACTCCCTTTCATTTATTATCTCAATTACAGAAGTCAANATATCAATCATAAATGCCCTTTTCCTCAGTGGCAGTGGTAAAACTAATGAACTAAGTGGAAAGGCCATCCTGTTTTTTCGATTTCCCTTCAGACTATGACTTTAATGAGGCAACAACTAATGTGCAGTGTGGGTGGGTTGGTGACATTAGTGCTGAGCATTAGGTTTTAAGGGATAACACCTCTTCATATGAGATTCAAAAATTCCACAATAAAAACATTGTAAACAACACATAAAAATATAATAAATTCCACTTTATCACCAAAACAGCAGGTATCAGAAATATTCCAAAATCTGTGCTTGCCATGGGACTTTTACATAAACACATTGAAAAAAAAAATCCACTAACTCTGAATGTCAGAATGGATTCATTACTAGTAACCATGGGAAGATCACCGTTTACCCCCAGGAAAATACACTTTTTGCACTTTTTTTTACACTTTTTTAAGGAGAATCCTTATCCCTTTAACAAGCACCCACCAACATCACAGTTTTTAAGTCCTATCACCTGTGCTATTATCTTAGCTGAACACCTACAATGTTACTTGAAAATCACAAATTAAAGTACCTATCCTTTCACACTTGATCACAACTTTATAGCAGCTCTCTCAATTTAATTTTAAAAATACCTTGGACACAGATTTATATCAATCAGGTAGCCTCCTAGACACAGTGTTAGAAATAAAAGCAGGTATTATTTTTTTGCTTTTCTCCATCTATCTCTCTGCAACACAAACTTAATGAAATAAAAAAGAAAGCATACCAACTTCAACAAACTAAGAGCCATATTACCACGATCACAGCTAACCCAGCAATCTCTTCCACATAAAACTTTCAACTATAAAACCTGCAATTTTCCAAACCCTCCACTCGGACAGCATGAGATATGTGAGTCATGCACAACATGCCACGACAGTGAGGTTCCTTGACCTAAAAAAGCTGATCATTATTTGAGTTGTGGTAGCTTGTAAACATGGTCTTAGACTTGCATCCTGTAAATATCATGTTGTTAAAGAATTCTCTTCATTACTTCTATTATAGTATATGTTAACCTTACACCTTACCATACACTGATATCAAAACAGATGACAGACGGGCACCAATTTTCAAAAATACTGCCATGTTTTTCATCGATGTCCTTCACAAATAATACTATTTAAACTTGCCTCTAAAAAAGTAAATGCTAATTGAAGACCAACCTGTCTCACAGAGAACTCACTGCGATTAGTTCACCACTTGCAGTCCATCTAATCATTCTGTTCTTCCATAAAATTACAAAATCCTGAGCTAGCTACTTGTCAGTGTCGGTCAATCATCTTTGAAATTTCACACCCGTTGCCATTTATATTTTGCAATATTGCACATTTACTACATAGTCAGCAACTTTTTTATTGGAATAAGATAAATATTTGACCCTTCTTCAATAAATATTTATAACTGTGGTCTTGTTGGTCTTGTGATAAAGTCTAGGTTAGTCCCGATATGCAAGTGTTATATCACTGAGGGCATTTTATCTGGGGCAAAGTGGCATCCTCTACAAACACAACACCCCCCTAAATGTAATAATTAACAAAACAATGTACATGGTCCCCACTTAACACCCAACTTTAGATAGCAGACAGTTTCAAGTTACATTCACAATGTACCACTCACTCTGAGAGAATCAAATCAGCTCAAGGTACGACATATAAAATGTTGAACCAAATGACAAAATAAAACAAATACATGGAACACTGGGGATTTTACAGTTACTTACTTTAATATAGCAAGACTATTTTCAAATTTTGTCTATAAACTACCATAAATAGACTGCAGAGTAGTCATTATGTGCTGTACAGCCCTACTAGTCTATTATGAACTGCTGTGTATAAAGCAGACAAAAGCCAATCATTAACTGTGTTAGTTGAGAAAATACAAATTTTCCTTGATGATTATAATGAATATGGTAGATGTGTTATTTTCATTTAAAACTAAAAGAGTTAGTATCTCTGGGTATTCACTAGGTACTCTGGGACAACACATTTGTGTCAATATGGGTCTGACTCCCTTTCATTTATTATCTCAATTACAGAAGTCAAATGTCAAAAGTACATTTCAAAACTAACTACTGTGGAACTTCATGATCATTGAGTAAATAATGCTTAACTTGTATGTATTTTTATCAGTCCAACAAATAATGGACAAACATTCTGAAAGACAAGTATTACATTTTCTTGACCACATCCCTTCACTCTGTATGAATACAGAAATTGAATACACACACATTATGACTAACCTCAAGTGACTTGTGCACATTATATACTAACAAAAGCCAAGCAGGCAAAGTTTATGTAAAACACTCTAGGGGCACACCTGTATGATATAACTTAAACTTTAGCAAATCAATAAGAAATTACATTGGTAAAAATAATCAAGATCTACCTTTTTCTATGGCCAAACTAAACTATTTTTATATGCTATGAAGCTTGCCAATATTTCCCTCTCTGACATAAAAAGCAGGTCCTGGAGTTTTTGTAGCACATATTTCATTTTAGCCAAGTAGATTTTGCCAAACTGTAACACATGTTGAAATCTGTTCAAAATTCTTCTGAGCCAAACTCTTACTTCCTATTTAAAAACTGTTTGTGTAAACCTTAAAGTATAAGAACAGTATAAGGGACCATTCCCACAGATATTTGGATTGATCTATCTCCCTGGGGAGTCTCACTTAATTGCTATCAACTTAACCAGCTTAAATGTCTGTCATGCCTAGTAAAGCTGTTAGAGGGTAATTTTCTTTATCCTCTAGCCGATTCGGTAGGTGTGACAGACATTTAAGCAGGTTAAGTTGATAGCAATTTAGTGAGACTCCCCAGGGAGTTAGACTGATCCAGATGGATAGATCAAGGGATGGGAACCCAGTCTAAAAGGAACACCCAAGGTAAAGAAAGGTTGACAGAAGGGCAATACCCCAGTGCATCACACCACAAATACACACCTTCTCTAAAATAGTATTGACAGTATTCATCTTGCTGGTGGGGGTTTGGTACAATGGGTCCACTGAAGAAGAGTGACATAGGACAGTGACACAAGCTTTTCACTGCTACCACCTTGTTCTGCAATTCAAACACAGCTGAAAGACAAGGCACGAGACAAATATGATAGATATTACAATATGTAATTAGAGAAGAATATAGTGCAGAAAACAGATTGCAATGTTTGTATCTTACAAATCTTTCTTAAATGTTACAGAGATTTGTATTTTACAAACTTTGGGGAATTTGATACCGATACAGCCCAATAGACTAGAGTTTATTAGCAAAGTTACACTGTGCATGTGTGCTTGAGTGCATGCTTGTTACTGTATGTGCATACATACTAGTATCTGATTCTGACATTCTATCATTTTACTAACGTCTTGATGCATTACATTATGTGCTGGTCTTGGACAAACACCAACATAATAATAATAAAGTAATGGCATGAGAAAAGTGGTCATACAAAGATTTACAAAAGAAAATTAAACATGCTAAACTTAACAAAACAAATATATATAGCAGAACATGCATTAGAGGGATAAGCACAATTTATCTATGAAACATAACTAAATGTATTTGTCTGTTTACCCAAATATAAGATCTTTGCATCTGATTTGTTAGTTTTCTTCAAACAACAGCAAATGTGTCTAAATGCTAGACAATCTAATCATAAATGAGCATGCTTAGCCCTGCAGGGAAGAGTTGGAAAATAAACAGAATTGCAAGAACATAATTCATCATTTTAAAAACGAACAAAAGGGAAATAAATCAAGTATACCATTTAACTGAAAAAGTCAATCAATTCTTATATATAGCACATATAGTGAATATACATAAAGCATATCCTTAAAATGAGTGGCGAGCAGAAGGAAGGAGGGCTTGGGGAGGGGGAAAGAATGTGCAAGTGAACACCTTTGTATGGTGCCATGTCACCAATTAAATGAACACCATTTTTTTCAAAATTTCTCAAAAATGGATAATAGACATGATCACTTTTGGCTCTTCACAACATAAAGGAATGGACACCATTTCCAGATAATTAATGTTTCCGTTACCTAGCAGTGAGCATCTTACCCAACACTTTTAAAGGTTCAGCTCTAATGTTGGTCATCACTCATGATGGGGAGCCTAACAAAGTTGATCAAGATAGATAAAAAAGAAAAGGCCAAATGTACTTAGTGAATATATAAAGCACTCACCACCCAAACACAGTAAGTGGGTGTGTAAAGTACTCACCAAGGTAGAAATTCACTTGCACTGGCGACTGACTATTTGAGATTGCTTTTACCCTCACTATTTGCTCCCATTAACACTCTGTAGGAAAGCATGGTCAGTGGGAGCAAACTCTAGAGTACGGGTTAGAAGCCATTAAATAATTTTAATGCAGACCCCAAGGTCGTCACGCACACGAACACGGTTAGAGCTCGTCTCAGATTTGGCAAAATATTACGGATGATTTCTTCATTACAGTAGACAATCCAGGTCAAACAAGGTTGGCAGAATGTGCTGTTTATTTTCTACCGTTTCAATCTTTTTGCCTGGATTGCCAATTGAAGAACTGCAAGACCAGTTTCATCGTCGTTAAAATAAGCCGGTTTCTTTTAACAGGAACTGGGGGAGGGAGGTGGGGTTTCGGCACACAAACACCTTTGACAAACTAAAAATGAAGCTAAATGAAACTCAGTAAAACTATGTAGCCGATCAGCGGTAGTAATTAAACGCACCATAACGAAATCAAGAAAAAATTTAGTGTGGTATACCTTGTTACACCTGCTAATTGTCAAATATAGATGACGTTCCTCTCCATTACCACGAATCCAATATGGCTTCTTACAGACCGAAGAACAACCCTTTTAACATAAAATCCGTCCGCCGACATTATTCAAGAATTGCACGCAAATAAGTCATCTGTATTGTAAAATACGGTCAATTTCATTAATTTAATGCATTTCTACCAACTACGTATAATGATGCATTGCTATTTGTAAAATATAAAGAATAAAAGCGGATGGGTTCAAGTTCAGAAAGTAGTTCTAACAGGACGTCAGCAGGTGTCGGACAGTGCTGCCATCTTCCGACTTAAATTAGTAGTCAATAAGTTACGCTGAACACAAAACGTACAACAAAAACAAAGAGAAAAACATAATAATAAATAAGTAAATAAATGAACAGATAGATTAAATAGAACAATGTGAAAATATTAAAAGAAAAATAGAATTAAAGGGAAGTATTGGAAAGGCAACTTCTTTCAACTCTGTTCAAAAAAAAAAAAAAAGAAAAAGAAAAGAAAGAAAGATTGAAAAGAAAAGAAAAAACACACAAACAAAAATGAAAGAAATAAAAAAGAAAAGAAAAAACTTTGCAGATGTACAAATTCACGAAAATATTAAATTTTGAATGCTTTTGTAACTCTGCTTGAAACTCTCACCAGTTTCAGCTAGTCAAAATTCTAATCATAAGAGACCATTGGTGTGATTTTTTTTTTCAGAAATCGACCCCCTGACCCCTGCCCGCTCCTTAATCGGCCATTGCCATTATTCAACAAATTAATCCATTTATACATAAAATAAGTTTAGGCAAGTTATTTTTACGCTTATCCGTGCATTTGTGTCAACAGTCTCATATCATTGCTGTAGAGAAGACAGCTGCAGACCTGGTGATTGTGTTTGTAGCGACAATTTTTGTTCATTCGTAAGACTCCACGCGCTGTCCGCCATATTGAATTTGGGAATCGAAGAATGCGTGAGTATGCCAAAAGCTAAAGTTTTGTATACAGTATTGCCCTAAAATTCCAAAATACATGTGGTTTTTTAATTCGAACAATTACAACCTTGCTTATATCTAGCATAGAAAATGAAAGAGAAATCACTTGATTTCAGCAGGCGTTTGAATTCGGCTGTTCAGTCAAGACTTCCGTGAGAATTGTTTCTACTCTCTAGATTGTACAATTAAGTGATGGTCTTAATTTTAGCTGCATTTGTGCCATGTTGGTTAATAAACGCTGTTTCTTTAGAGGGGGTTATATCATTTCCGTGTTTTAGAGGAATTCGCTCGTTAGACGGCAAAACGTAACCAGTTTTTTCAATGAAACATTCATTTTCTTCATATTCTCTATTCAAGGACATTGAAGGGTGAATATGATTTGAAACAGGTAGATAATTATACTGAGTTTTTTTGCAGTTGACTGTAAGTTTAAAAATCGGCATAAAATTCGTCAAATTTTTAAAGGAAAAAAGTTGAACCGAACGTTGGATTAAATGATGAGATTTTGCCACACGTGGTACTTTTTAAATGGCATCATCCTTTCTTTGTTTCAGTTTTTAAATACTCATTGTGACGAAAATAACAGAAATGGCAGATGATCTAGACGTAGAAGCACTTTTAGAAGCTCCATACAAAAAAGAGGTATGGTGTACCGGGGTTTGTGTTCAGTCTTACAGTCACTATTACTTATTGATAGTTCCAGTTTGTTCCTTTCTTTCATTTAATTATTGTTGAAATGTTGAAATAGTCCATGCTATTTAATCAGGGGAAAATATCTTATTAAATTTTGAAGTTTTTAAAATATATATTTAATTGCATTGGTTTTTAATGTATGATAAATCACCACACATTGTAGTGAATGTAATATAGCATTTGATATGACACCCCTAATATATGCATTTTGAATTTTTATCTTATTGAATAATGTGCATATACCCAAATATACATACTTAAATCATTTTGTACATCATGCCAGTATAATTATCAAGTCCATGACCAGCAAGTCAAACTCGCTCAATTTGTTGCCCATTTGTTTCTATCATAGATTTCCATAGTACGTAACATGTACAGCTACCTACTTCAGCTGGTTCACAGCAGCCTCCTATGCCGACATGAAAGGTAGTAATTGGTATCAAGGAATAATTATAGAAACTGTATATACAAACTGCATACCTTCAGCAGGTGCTTCAGTTTTTTTTTTCCTAATGTATGTGTGACAGCACATCCGCATGTTTTATTTTTGTTTTTTATTCTTATTCGTCTAATGATGGTACATGTATGTACTAGATTGACGTTTTGAATAGAACACTAAGCCTAACTCTAAGCCACAGTGATTGAGAATTTGTGTATGTCGTGCAAATAAACAAATTGTCAAGTGGAAGCTCTTGAATTTTATTAATGAAAGTCCTGTTTTTTATGTATTTCTCATTTAAAATGAAGGAATCATTTACAACAAGCACACCCTTTTGAAAATGCAAACCAGTAAAATATAGGTAGGGCATTTAAAAAAAAATTGAAAATCATTTCACAAATTATAGTCACCCTTGCCCTTCCACTTGATGATTTATGTCACTAGTTTGAAAACGACTCTGAAATGTACCCCTCCCTCTCGTCTCAGGTGCGTTGATGACGATGGACAGAGAAGAGCAATCCAGGAACATCTGCCAAAAGGATAGACCTATCCAAGACTTACTTTAGTGTGGGTTTTGGCTAAGCTAAAGCATTCCTGAGATATCACTAGGGGTTTCTTGTATATGAATGTGTGCGTGTAGGTTTATTATTATGTATTTATATATATCTATGGATTGTCTGGAATTATATTTGGCTCTGAGAGTGAAAGTGGTTCGGAGTGCTTGTGTTTTCTTTTTCATCCATATTTTTTCATCCTGGTAACATGTAGCTTTGTAAGGTAAGTTTTATTACTGAGGATCATGCAGTGTTCCAGAGAAGGAAGAAACCGGAGACCAAGCAAGCCTGTCTTCACCATTTTGTTGACACATGTGACCTTATATGAAACACTAATATTGACTCAGTGATTTGTTATACATATGCTTGATCATTTCAAACCTACTCATAAACAATTCCTTCTTTCAGTGTATTTTTGTTATCACTTTCTTTTTTATAAAAAAGGTTAGTTTAAACTAAAAACTTATGATTTTTTGTGCCTTCCTTTTCCCCTTGTCACTGTGTTTGCTGGATGTTTCATGGATGCTGTTTTTGGACATCGTAGGATGATGGTGGAAGATCAGAAGAATCCAGAGAAAAGGAGAGGTGAGATTTTAATATATTTTTCATTTGAGCATTTTGTAATGAGTAATGCCTTTTGAACCTAATTTGGTTAAATTGATAGGATGAGATAAGTGTTTTTTTAATGAAAGTAAAATTTTGCCCATACAAGAGTTTGAAATTTGTTTTAACATTTGCAGCAGAAAGAAGAGGAGCAGAAGTAGGGAAAGGGACAGGGATCGAAAGAGGTAAGTTTTTTATTTATCCTTGAGGACCCCATTTAGAGACATGTCCATCTTTCTGTTAAAGCTGTGAAAACTTATTCCAGTGCAAAAGTGCTCTCAATTCGATAATTGTTCATGAATAGTTTAGTGCCGTCAATTCTGTGGTCATGTTTGTTACATAATGGAAAAACAACATTTTGAATAAATTTATAGTGCAATCTTGAAATTTCACAAATGGAGCACTTGGGACTGTTTTACTAAACAACTTGTGCAAAAATTGGTTTAAACATTTAATACTGAAATGTTTTGGCAAATTTCACTCCAGGAGATATCTGAACTATTGAGCACTTAATACTTTCCAGGGATAAAGATAGGGACAGAGATAGAGATCGCAAACGCAGCAGAAGTCGAGACAGGAAAGATCGTGACAGAAGGCGGAGTCGGAGCAGAGACAGGGATAGAGACAGAGAAAGAAGTGACAGGCGTAAACGCAGTCGTAGTAGAGATCGTGATCGCGACAGAAGAGACCGAGACAGGGGCAATGACAGACATCGTGAGGACAGACGTGCACGTAGCACCTCCAGGAGCAGAGACAGGAAGAGAACACCAACACCTATTAGGTGAGAGACTTTTCACAGAAAATAAAAAATCAGTTGAAAAATCAGCCTTGTGATGTCTGAGCCAGCTAAGAAGCCTAGACTGCCAAGTTATAGAACTTACCACTTAAGTTGTCTACCACATTTTAAAGAAGGTCTGAATTAATTCAATTACTTAAACTTTGATTTGTGCATCTCCAACCTTGTATTACTATTATGTTTGTTTTAAAAATCGAAGTTGATATGATTCTTGACTTTGAGAAGTCTTGTTAAATAACAATTATAAAGGAAATGGAATTGCATTGTACTAAAATTAATATTTTGAGCTGTTAAGTCAATGATGTATCTCTTGTACAATTTTGTTCTTTATTCAAGTATATCTGACCTTTTTCACTTCAATTTTCTTTTGTTTTGTAGACTTATGACCAGAGAAAGTCATGAAAATGGTGTTCTACGTTTGACAAGGTGAGTTTTAGGAAAGTTCTATTTATTTATTCATTGAACTTGTTTGATGTACTTTTACATTATAAGATTACTTCAGCTTAAATTTGTTCTGGTGTGTCATTGTTGTATGCAAAAATAATGTTATGCCAATAAAAACACAATTGCCAAAAAAAAAAAAAGAAAGAAGGCAAATTTCTTAGCCTCAAAGTGTGTGTCCAACTGTAACAAGATCTTATATATATTTGCAGAGGTGCTGATGAGGATCTGACCCCAGAAGAAAGAGATGCACGCACAGTGTTTTGTATGCAGTTGGCAGCCAGGATTAGGCCCAGAGATCTAGAAGAGTTCTTTTCCTCAGTTGGGAAGGTAAATATATTGTTCTGTGTTAGAGAAAATGAGTAGAACTAAATCAGTGTGCTGTAAATCCACCAGCCATTTTTCCTAGTTGAGATGTTTTCACTTTATATTTCAACAGTTTTCTTTTGTGTCATTGGTATATTGAGGAAGATAGTCAACTCTGTTGGTGTAAATGCAATATCAAAAATTCTAGGATTAAGTAGGATTGATGAAGAATGTGGCAATATAAGAAAAGATTTGGAAGTAAGTATAAAATTAAAGGGTTAGAGCTCAAACAAATGCATTTGCTTTGTGCAGGTACGAGATGTGCGTATCATCACAGACAACAAAACACGGAGATCCAAGGGCATTGCCTATGTGGAATTCTACGAGTCTGACTCTGTACCTCTAGCCATTGGTCTAAGTGGCCAGCGGTTGTTGGGCGTACCAATCATAGTCCAGGCCTCTCAGGCGGAGAAGAATCGGGTAGGCCAGACGGGGACAGCTCTCCAGGGGAAGAGTGCCGCAGGACCCATGAGGCTCTATGTGGGCTCTCTTCATTTCAACATCACAGAGGACATGTTGAGAGGAATCTTTGACCCATTTGGAAAGGTAGGAAGGGAGAAGATCAAAGGAATGGTGTCATTAACTTGAGTAATGGTAAATTTTGTAAGGATTACTTTGTATATTTGTGGAGCAAATTTTGTTTGGGGTTAGTAATTTGTGTTTTCTGGGGGAAAGTTTTGTCACTGATGTGTTTAGAAATGGAGCCGTCTAATTTGGGCTGTTACCAAATTTTAAATTGAGGTAAATGGAATTATTTGAATAAGGTTGGATCTGTTGCTTTAAATTATGTTAGAAATAGCTTGTTTAATTGTCAACTTTCAGAATTGTTAGATACTTGTTTGTGTGACTCCAGTTTCTTGTATGCCTATTATGTTTGTTATGTGCATTGTGTGTATGGTTAGCTTTATGTATATGAAGCAGGCTTACCCAAGCAAGATAACATTTCCATCACTCAGAAATGATTCCTCTAGCTAGTGGATACTAATAATGTTGAAAATTAGCAGACCTGCAATAGTTTAGATATTATAAATGTTTGATATTTGAAAAGATATTGATTATTTTTCTCTATAGGCAAACTTGTGGTAGGCCTGCTGTTAATCAAAATGTTTGATTTTTTAAAATGATTTATGTTATTAAAATGGTATTTGTGACAGACATACAGCAAACTGACCTATTGTTACTGGAAAATTCACCTCTTTTTGTTAAAATTATAATTGGATACTTTGAATGATGATTGAATGTTAACATATCAGAATTGAATAATGTTTACATATCATACAAAAAAAAAAAAAAAAACAGAAGTTCAGTTTGCTCTCCATGTGTAACATGCTTTATGTTACAAATTATTGTGTGAAATGGATATTGGGTGAAATTACACAAATGTCAAAATTGTTTACAATTTGGAAGTGGGTTAGATATATTGAAAATGTTTTTTACTATTTGAATTGTATCACCATCTTGATCAAGATTTCAGAAGAGGCTGCATTTGTAAAATTCAAAAAAGGAAGCTGCAACATGAGTGGGATTTCTCCAAAACGGGCACCTCATGAAAAGCAATTGTGTGAGGTGCCCGGCTTGCTAACCATGAACTGGTCTTCTCCGTCTTTCAGATGGACCACTTAAATCTAGTGATGGATACTGAGACTGGAAGATCTAAAGGTTTTGGATTTGTGACAGTAAGTACTTCCTCACTAGTCTCATCCCCCCACAACCATGATAGTCTTTGCCTCCTTTCTGATGGGCAGCCTTTTTGTTGTTTCATGTGCTTGCAGGTGGACGATATCAAGTTGATTAAGGATCCCCAGACAGGAAGATCCCAGGGATACGGGTTTGCTACAGTAAGTATATGTGACCTTGACCTGACCTGACCTGACCTTGGTTGATGATTTGACCTTGTTGACCTGCAGCCTGTATGAAAAGTTGGAAGACGTGGCCCACAGATGGACATATTGGAGCACTGTTGTTTGTATATGGATGTCAGGAATTGCATTTAAGCTGTAGAATTATCATATCATTAAGATGTTATGTTTTGGGGGAAAAAAATTTACAGAAGAAAGCTTAATGTTCGCATATTATTTGAAGTCTTTAAAATCAGCATTTTATTATGTAACATGCTAATGTATGTATTGCATGGAAATGTGTATATTTGTTTACCAGATGTATTTTTAGTTTATGATGCAGAGATTTCTTTAAAAATGGGTATGAATAAAAAGAAAAACACTACTTTTACAGGGATGCTTACCAGCATGGAATTAGAATTCAGAAACAAGCCTTTTATGATATCACTGTACAAATACTAATGCAATAATATCGATCTGTAATTGCAGTGGGCTTCTAGTGTTAGCAAGTGGGTCAGAAAAGGGGGTTCATTTCAGAGTCTTCTTTTCAGTTCCACAATGCAGAGGATGCACTGAAAGCCCTCCAGCAGTTGAACGGCTTCGAGCTTGCAGGGCGTCCTATGAAGGTTGGTCATGTGACTGAGCGTACAGGCGAGCCAGGCACAGGTGGTGCTCTGGACAGTGACGAGATGGACAGGGCAGGGATTGACCTCGGTGCCACAGGGAGGCTACAGTTGATGGCAAAACTGGCAGAAGGTGGGTCATGTTTGTTTTTATCTTGTCACAGTGTTCTTGGGCCTAGTGAACCCCAAAAGAGAAGAAACATGAGGTTTAGGAAATGGGAAGCTTGGGCTTGTACTTTGATAGGATTAAGTGTAAATCTTGGTTGAAGTTGAAAGGAGTTCGATACACAGTTTCTTCTTAATCTGTTCGTCAGTTAATGATTATCATGTCTGATGTTGTCCGTCAACTGCAGGTCTTAAATCTGCCAGCCTTTGTGAACTTTTCTCAAACTAGAGACAAGGCAGTTTCACAAGGACCATTAGTTAACATCTAGGACAGACAGGCATTCAAGAGAGCATTACCTTGGGTTGATTAACTGTAATAGCAGTAAACACTTGTTTCAGTATGTGTTAACATTTGCCATATTTACCATTCCAGGTACAGGTTTCCAGATCCCCCAGTTTGCTGCCAATGCTTTGAACCTGACCCAGGCTCAGTCAGCCCAGCAGGCCGCCCCACCCATAGCCACACAGTGCTTTATGTTGTCTAACATGTTTGACCCTATCACGTAAGTACTTATATATCTGCCCCACTTAAATGCAGCAAAAAATGCTATCCGAAAAATCCGTTCAGATATCATTTTTTGGCTAATATTAAACAATGTCTTTTGGTAATTCTCTTCGTTATACTATTTGAAACTCCATGCTGGCATTTGACAGGTTTTGTGGAAAAAAAATAACTTCATATGCATATGAGAGTAGTATTATTCTTGGGCATTTGTTACTAAAGCTTTGATGAACTGGTAAATACAAGATTCTTAAACATCTTGCTTATTATGACAAAAATCACAACAAGAGACAAGTGATTTGAGTCCCTGCCAGTATTTGAGATGTTTGAAAGAAAGCATTTAGTTATTTTTTTCTCGAACTTTCTATTGGATAGAACAAATTTTCCCCCAAGTAGGTTGACCCAATTGAAAAAAAAACAACAGAAAGCGATAGATATGTTATTTAGTCTTTGAAAAATTAAATGTATTGGTACCCGATTTAACTTTCTATACAATCCCTGAATTTATTCACAGAGAGACCAACCCCAGCTGGGATCAGGAGATCAAGGATGATGTGATAGAGGAGTGTAATAAGCATGGTGGGGTGATCCATATCTATGTGGACAAGGCCTCTCCTCAGGGGAATGTGTATGTCAAGTGCCCCAGTATAGCGGCTGCAGTGGCCTCGGTCAATGCTCTCCATGGGAGGTGGTTTGCAGGTATGTATGGTATGAGAATTGGGGGATCTTTTAAGCGGGTTTCAGCGTCTTGCAGCTGAAATACTGGATATAATAGTTTCAATTAAAAGAATAGGACAAAATCCAGTTTTCTGAAAATTCTCTCTCTAACATTAACTGAGTTATGTCTGTGACGTTTTTGTTGTGCTTGATTGGGCAAAATTCAGACAAGACCGCAGACTTCAAAGTAAGTTTTATACAGGACGTAAAGAAATTTTGTATAATCTCATGATATATACACTACAATATTTTTAGAGGTTATGTGATAAGTTATTTATACAAATTGTTTGCAGTTAAGATGGAGTTTTACATAGAATATTTACCAATAACTGTCTTGTCTATCTTTGCAGGTAAAATGATAACGGCTGCCTATGTCCCGCTACCAAACTACCACTCACTGTTCCCAGACTCGCAACGCACCATGCAGCTTCTTATGGGATCCTCTTCAGGCAGCGGGAACCAGTTTGCTCCAGTAGGAATGGGAATGAATCCTTTAGGATCACTGTCATAGCATTCCTGCATGCTGTTGTGGACTTGTTTGAAAAAGAAGAGGGTGTTAAGATGTACAGTGATATGGAAGAGGATTGTACATAAGCAGTTGTAGCAACTTAACTAGTTGTAGCACTGTCTAAACACAGAGACTGTTCCTGATCGAATTAATAGGCTTCTCTAAAACAAATGTTGAATGAGGAGAAATGAGTTGTTGAATGATTAAATCTCAATATATAAAATCTGCAGTTTTTTTTTTTAGCAACGATGGTATCATTATCATGGACACATTGAACTGAGTTCTAAATACTCACAAGATCTGGGGAACTTAATTTAAAAGAGACATGGAGAACATATGAACTTGTCAGAGTTGGGTAGAAATTCTTCCAAGTTCTATAAAAATCTTGCATTGGATATACGTGAAATATGTTTTTGAACAGCCAGTGAGGTTCACTTTAACATTTACCTGTCTAAATTTAGCTGTTAAACAGAAGAGTAAAGGAAACCAATCGGACCTGTTGCGTTATTGATAGGGACTTGTTTTACTTTGTTGTATTTTAAGGATTTCACCTGCAGGGGACAAAAAAAAAAGTTTTTTTTTTACCCCCTATTGATTAAGACCCTGATACCGCTTTATGAGTAGAAACCAAAATTTGTACAAGGTCAACCACCAGGGTTCAGTATTTGAAGCTGATAATTTCACTCAAGTATAGGAAAATGTGAGTAGATCTAGAGATTATGACCTGCCCAACCACACGTCGGGTTGTATTTAATACAGAAATTGTCATGTTGGCCTTCTTGTATTTGACTTTTAGTGAATAGTGCAACTTTTTTTTTCTTGGCTAGTGATATTTCAAGTTATTCAGTGTTATAAATCCTTATCATTTGATTTGTTTTATGTTTGATTTGATATGATCAGTAAAGTTTTAACCTAAAAGCAAGATTTATGTTTTAGAATTGTTTCCAGTCCAAAGGTGTGTTTTAATTGAAAAGAACAGTATGACGGCTTTACTAACCAAGTTCTGTTCGAGATGTTTATTACTATTAAGAGAAATAAAGAGGATTATTCAAGATAACATCGTGTTATTATAGTTTCTGTATCAATATGTAGATATTCAGTACCTTGAGTACCTCAACAAAAAATGAGGAAAAAAGCTCTCTTTGTTGTATAAAAGTTGATGTGAGCACCAATGCATTATGCAGTATTTTAAGTTCTTGTAGTTATTAGCACTTTCTGTTGTCCAAAACTTGAAAGAAACTCATTTTTGTCAATATTGTCATTTTGATTGAGAAAAAAATTTCTTGGCATGGTTTCACCTGGTTTGGGGGTTGAAAAAGAAGGCCAATCGATAATATTCCAGATTACATTATCAAGGAAATGGTACAATGTACCTTTTATAGTGAGTGCACGGTAAAACTCTGATTATCCTGACAGGAAAAATGGTGCACAAGAGAGACTTTCCGTTGCGGAACCACGTGCGTTTGTTTACCCTAGTGCATTGTGGGAAAGTGTGACGTCAAGTGTGTTGGAATCCAAGATGGAGTCTCGGGGATATGTTCGCAGACGAGGACAATCAAACAATGGAAACTCGTGAACAATGGAGCGAAATACAACATGGTCACGGAAGTATATCTGTTATGTAATAATTTCCAATGCGGACTGAACTTGCACTAAATATATTGGCTTATGGATAGGAAAATTTGAGTCGCGTTGGTAGTTTGTTGACTTAATCTTCATCATGACTTCCAAGGAAGTTGAGTAAAGTTTTATCCGGTGAAGTGGCTTATTTCAAATGTGACATAAAACTACAGATCCATGTGACGGAAATATAATTTGACTCAGATTCCCCTAAACCTGGGACCCTGCTGGAAAAACTACGGCAGATCATTAATTAGCAGTTTACCAGCTAATTACCTACACCTGCTCTAGCTGGGTTAGTTTAGGTAAAATTGTCAACGCAAGACCCGCGACTTGATTTGATTGAAAAGAAAATCATTTTTCGCAAAAAAAGAACAAAAATGGATCAGATTCCTGAAAAGTTTGCTATGAGCAAGGCGACTAATTGCCGTAGAAGCACATACATTATTGATTTTCAATTCTGTATAATTTTTGCAACATACTAGTTAACGGCGTCAAATTTGCCCCCGTCTTCTATAGAAACCTTACATCCACCAGCAAAAATGGACCAAATTCGCCAAATGCTTGCTCTGTGTGAGCAAGGTGATATGGCATCAGTGGTCATGTTGCTTGACCAGGGTCCAGGAGTGGAAGTGGACAGTGCAGATGACGAAGGGACAACTCCCCTGGCCATGGCAGCAGCTAATGGCCACGAGCAACTGGTGAAGGTGCTTTTGATGAAGGGGGCCGCCTTGGATAAACCTAACAACTACAGGTGAGAAGATTGTACATACAGTAACAGTCATGTCTGTGTACCATGAGTGTACCTGTGCTTGAGTATATAGTTAAAGCAAACAACTCGGACACAAATGTGAAAATTATGATGTGTTATTTAATTTCAAGCCCTGAATTTTCATTATGTTATATTACAGTTACTAGTATTTGCATGTTTTTGCTTCTGATAACATGTCTGGAATGTTGAACATGTCTGAAATGTTAATCTTGTTTGTAAAAGTTGAAAAATTGATTTGGATGTTGTGTGACAGATCTTAGATTTATCATGTTTATCAATTTATAGGATGTCAATGATTTTGGTTTTTAAATATTATGTTTCACTACATGCATAAATTCGTGTCTTTAAGAAGATTTATTTTATTATAAAGATCTCATTTTTTCTGTCATGAAGTTACAACTGAAGTCCTTAAATCTTCATTATATCTTGCAGGTGGACTCCCATTATGCATGCTGCTCGTCACGGACACACAAATGTTGTCAGTCTACTCCTACAGAATAAATGTGATCTGTATGCATCAAATAAACTACATGCTACGGCATTGACTTTAGCTGCAAGGGGAGGTTATATTCAGACAGTGAGGCTTCTTGTGGAATCTGGTATTGACCTCAATTCGTGTGGAACTAGCTGTGAATTCACCCCCCTCATGGCTGCAGCCCAATACGGCCATGATGTCGTCGTAAGATATCTCTTAGATCGCGGAAGTGATGTGAACTATCGCATGCCCTCCACAGGGTTGAATGCACTGATGCTGGCTGCAGTGAATGGTCACATGACAACGGCACAAATTTTGATTGAACGAGGCTGTGATCCAAACTTGACCAATGCAAATAACCACACAGCATTGGAGATTGCATCACAGAGGCGGAAAAGGGAAGTCAAAGGTTATTTGGATCGCAAAACTACAAATAAGCCCTCTGCTGGTAAGTTCATCTTTTTAAAACTTTATTGCTTTGTTAGTCAGAGAAGAATTTCATCAGCTGTGTTATGTTATAAGAATGCTGTGATTCAGCCTCATTCCCTGATGAAAATGTCCTGCTAGACATCAAAATATTGGAAGTAAAAACTAACTCAGTATTAGCTGTTGACTGAAGAAAAAATCACATCATTCTTTATTGCTTTGATTTTAATGAAGATCATCATCATTATTATTATTTTAAATTTTTTAATTTTTTTTCATGTTTTAAGTAAATTTGTCACATATTAAGAAATCTTTAAAAAGTTGATTTTGTAAGCACTTTGTAGAATTACTACTAAATAATTGTGGTAACATAAAGTAATTCACATTGCAAATTGCATGTAGGTTATATTTACCTTTAAAATATTGTTACAATGACTAATAGTGGGTGATTAATATAATTACATAAAAAATGGGACAAAAGGGTACTTAAAAATGGAGACAACAATGGTTCAGTTAGTTCTTCAGTTGAAAAAATAATTTGTTTTAAAAAATTGAACAGAACTTAGTAACAAAAGTATAACTGAGGAAAAATAATTTAACTGCAACACTAAGACTGCATTCCCAGAGATTTAGATCGATCCATCTGGATCAACCTAACTCCCTAGGGGTTCACGCTAAATTGCTGTCAGCCCAGCGCGCACAACAGTTAATTACCCCCTTACAGCTTTTAGTAGGCGGGACAGACATTTAAGCCGGTTAAGCTGACACCAATCTAGTGAGACTCCCCAGGGGGATAGATTGATCTAAATATCTATGGGAGTGGGGTCTAAGATTATATACAGTATGTTAAAGATTTGTATTAAATTCAAATAAAACTAAAATGTATAAACTGAGTACAGTTCATTGATAGCAATATTTATGGAGCATATTGGACTGAAACTCTTAGACCCCCTTTCTTTTCTACTTTTGGAGTGAGGCAGTTTTAAAGTTTCCAGGCTTGCCTAATGGGGCAAGAGCCTGAAAAGAGCTTACATCAGGGTCTGGCAATGGTGCCATTCTTTTTTCTCACTGTTGCTATTTTGTCTAAACATACCTGTGGTTGATGTCAATTTATAACAGGCTTGCTATTATGAAGAGGCAGCAAGAAGACTGCACTGCTTTTCAGTATTAATTGATCTGTTATTCACCTGTTCAATAATATTATTTGTTATTCTCCTGTTCAATAACATTATTATGATATTATCGAAAAAGAAAAAAATTCAGAGTTGTTACATTTTCATTATTGATCATCCAACCTTCACTAGTGGTGGAAAAAAAGGTCTTTATTGTAAGAACTTGTCAATATTTAGCCAGGCATGTCAATGACCTAGTGCAAGCAGTCAGTCATTTCCTTTAGCCATTGTAATTTTCATGTTTATTGAGTTAATGCTCAGATCAATTTTGGAACGATCTGCAGCTTATGTGCATGTTAAAGGATTTGAATGGTGTATGATTTGGTATCTGGTTACTGTTCCGTGTATGTTGTGTTCAAGAGCATGTTGTTGAAATAGTGTCAACATATACTTGTTTACATATTAATTAATTCAGTTTGGATGCTTTATTAGGCTAAGGGTTGCAATGCAGACTTTTTCTAGTGCTAAACACAGTTTACTGTGCCAAAAATGCAAGACATTGTGGTATTTTGTCTATTTATCACTTTAAATGTATAGAACATGTTTACTTATTCTGAAGAAAAATAAAATAAGTATACTACAGTGGCTTATATCTTATAATTTATTTTGTATACAATAGCATGCTCTAATTTTTATGATTTCAGATTTTTCTAAGAAAGTTTGTCAAAACATTACATGCACTAGAGTGAAGTTGTTTAAATAACTTGGAGAACACTTTTTCTTCTAATTTAAACTGCATACTTTCCTTTCAGAACAAATTAGTATCAAGCCAGACATCATAGAAGCAACTAAAAATGGTGAGTTGATGGATGTATCTTTTTGGAGGTTTTAATTTTTAACAGTTAATGGGTACTTAATGAGGGTATTAACATTGTAAGCACTTTGGAAGTGTTTATTTTATGCCTTGAAAGTAATCATAATTGTTGAAAAATTAAATATCCCTAAATCTAAATTGTAAGTAGCAAAATATTGTCTTATCATTTTATTTAACCTGCATATTTATGATATTTCGTTTTAGAATTTTTAAAATTTTACAACAGGATATTCCTTATATTGTCCTGTATATGAGGTAACTCAAATATTTTACTCTTCCCTTGAATTCAATATTATTTAGGCAACTTACAGAGGGTCAAAGAAATCCTGGATGAAGATATAAGTCAAGTTGACGCCTTTTCACCAGGAGATGGTGCCACCCCGCTCATGTTTGCAGCCATGACAGGCCGAATGGACATTGCACAGCTTCTGGTAGAGAAAGGAAGTGATGTGAACAAACAGGACTGTATCAGTGGCTGGACAGCAATTATGCAGGCATTATATCATGGGTAATCTTTGGTTACATGAATAATCCTTCTGTAGTATGCCCATGTGGGTAACTCATATTAAGTGTTATGAAATAATTGGTGTTAAAATACAAAAAATAATCAAGAACTTCTGAGTAGGATAANCTATTGAACTTGAATGGGAAGACATATACTTGTAATTTAACTGTGACCTTGAAATTGGCCTCTGGCCTACTTTTCACCATGAACTAAAATTTCCAGCCCTTATATCTCTTAAACTGGCAAAGATACGCCATTAGTTACTATTGAACTTCAATAGGAAGTCATATACTGGCTATCTAACTGTGATCCTGAAATTGGCCTTTGACCTACTTTTTATGATGAACTGTACTTTGCATGTTTTCTGGCCTATATATCTCCAAACTTGGCAAAGAAATGCCCATAGTTACTTTTGAACTTGAATAGGCAGTCATAAACTGTGACCTTGAAATTGACCTTTGACCTACTGTTCACCATGAACTGAACTTTGAATATTTTCTTGCCCCTCATATCTTCAAAACTAGCAGAGATATGCCCAGTGTTGCCCATAGGTTTCCTCTTTTGTCAGCATATATGCAACACTGATAACACATTTCAAGGAAAACCAATAGGCCTATTGTCTAGAAAATCACTACCCATCCGAATGCACTTACTCCAGCTGGTGGTACAATATCCGGAGGCGGTATCGCCTCTCTGATCCTCTAGTTAGATAACAGTAAAGGTGGAATGCCATTCCTGTAGATTGCATCTTCTGCTACACATGAAAATTAATAATGATGTTCATTCTTGCAACTAATAGTTAGAGTGCACGTTCACGAAGAGGGTGTACAAGTAGCAATAACACATGAAATTGTCCACTAAAAACGTCAAAAGAAAAATTCATTGATCAAGTTATTAAATCCACTAATTTCTTTAAAATAGTTCAGGGCAACTTAGTTTAAATGCATTAAAATTATTGGAGTTCTCGTGAGATTAAACTTTTTTCAGATCTAGCAGTTCTGAATTTTGAAACATAAAACTACTACTAAGTGTGTTGGAATGTTCATTCACTTTTGGCAAGAAAGGGTTCAGGTTATGTTCGAGGTTAAGCCAGGATATTGAAAGAGACCATCCAAAATTACCTCAATTATTGTATGAGCAAAGTGGGGGAGGTTTTATAAGTGTGTATTCATGTTACATTTGCATAGGTAGAAAGCCCCATCACCAAATTATTATTATTATCATCATTATTAAACATGGCCTCTCGAATTTGTTTACTGATAATCACGCAGTAGTCCCGAGATAACTTCAAATATGGCAGCTTGCTGTTCTTATAATATCACAGGTGTATAATTACTGCCAGTTAGTCAAGTCTGTAAAGTGACAATGCATTTTGACAGTTGTCTTTTAAAGGTCATAGTGGAAGCCGGTCAAGGAGTGCATTTAAAAAGAGATGGAGAGGCTTGATTTGAAGACTTTTTTACCTCTTTTATTCAGTATCTTCCTGCGTATGAAAGATATTTGATACATTTTATTGTCAACTGCGAAATTGATTGCTGTTGTATCTGCCATCTTATATGCATTTAGTGACATTAGTAAAGTTTGTTATCGGCAAACTAATTTAACAATAAGGAGTATGGCTTTTTTTCCTGAAGCCATTCACACACCGATATTTGAACAAAATCATCTACTTTTTGAAAAAAAAAACATTGAGCTGTTTTTCTCATGAGTGTGACCAAAATCCAAAATAAAGTGACATATATGTATGAGTAACCATTTATCTGATTTAATGTGGCTAGGAATTATTTCTTCAGATAACTGAGGGAAAGGTTTCATAATTGTGAAATGTTTAAGTGGTTGATATATATATTGCTTGGGTCTTTTCAAAGATTTGATTTTAGACTACATTTCTCATGTGTTGCTGAAGAATGACACACCATTTATAATGCTGTGACAATATCTTGTGGTTCTAGTGTTGAGATTGGTTGGGGTATTAAAGTCCCTTGCCGTGAGGATAAATCTGTTGATAATAGAAGAGATAAGCTCCAAACTATATCATGGATGGGGAAATGATGGCCATGCAGGCAAAAAAGTTTGTTAGTCACAAGTAATCACAGTGAGATATCTCATTTGTAGATATTATCTTTGTCAGGTGTTGCTGTGGTTTCTTTGGACAGTATCAATTGCCAGGCATGTAGGCTCACCAAACCACAGTTGTTTTATGGCTCTTGCTTACAATAAATAACAATTAAGTATAAGACTGGGTTCCCATGCCTAGATTGATCTATCTGGAGCAGTCTATCTCCCTGGGGAGTCTCACTAAATTGCTATCAACTTAACCAACTTGACTATCAACTCTCACTAAATTGATATCAACTTAGCCAGGCTTAATGTCTGTCACACCTACCAAATCAGTTAGGGGGTAAAGATGATTACCCCCTAACAGCTTTACTAAGTATGACAGACATTAAAGCTGGTTAAGTTGATAGCAATTTAGTGAGACTCTCCAGGGAGATAAATCAATCCAAATATCTATGGGAATGGTCCCTAAGGCTGTGTTCAGATTAGATGTTGTCATACTAACAGAATCGATCTATCTCTGTGGGGATTCTTGCTAAGGTACAGTTAATGTAATCAGCTTAATTGTCTGGCACACACCCCATTGTTTCTTACATTACTTGGGTAAATTTGGAAATACTTGGTGGTCCATGATGTTGTTCATGTTGCTTTGCGAAGGAGCATGCCAGACAATTAATTAATTATAAGCTGATAACATTAACTGCGCCTTAGCAAAAATCCCTGCTGAAATAGATCGCTCCTGCTAGTATGACTTCTATTCTGAACACAGCCTAAGATTAAGTCACTGCTCCTATATGTTAATCTGTGAAAGTGTGACACTTTGTAGAATTTTGATGGAAATGCATGAACTATTATCTTCATTTTAATATGAATGCAGTATAATGAGACAATATTATATATAATATTAAGAATATATATTTTATCATTTGGTACAATTAAGTGAGCTTTATTTTTATTTAGAAGCATGCACAATAAATGAGCATAAGTTCTTTTACCTCTTAGCTTTACACTACTATAGTTTATGGCCATAAAAAGAAAAAAAATTAACAAAGGAAAAAAGTTTCCACTCATATGTTCTTGGAAAGATGTTAACACTGAGGCCAGCCTCTATTGAACTTTATCTTTTTTTTCCGCCTTTCAGGACGAGCTGGACCTAGATAAAGCTCACCGCGATGCTATGTTCAGTCTACCACCCGAGAAGAAATGGCAGATCTACTGCAGTAAATCCAGAGTAAGTTATCGTCTAGTAAGAGAACTGAGATAGCCTTTACACTTTCCCTTTTGTATTTTTGTAGGGATTTTTGAGTAATTACCTTATACATGTCCTGAATATTAGGCAGTTCTATTTAGGACCTGCCTCATTCTTTTAACTGCTAATAAACATTTGTTTTTCATGCACTTGACTGTCCCCTTGATCAGTTAATTAATCTAAATCTTACAAAATGACTGAAGAAAACCACACTAGTCTACTAAAGTGCAAAAAATTAGCATTAAAAATATAATAAAATTGCCATGTATATGCTTTACAGCCATTCCACGAAAAGGGGTACAATTCCAAAACAAGAAATGCAGCGATATGAACTTTGAAAAACTGGAAAACTTTTTATATTATTTTGATGAAGAGGTATTCAGAAAGTAGTAGAAGAATTTTAACCCACACCATTACTGTATTTAAAGAAATATGCACGTGTAAACATGGTACAGTATTTTTTTCGTTACGGAGGTTAGGTAACATCTAAATTAGGTTATATTTCAATCATGCCAAAGGTCACAGGCTCCATATTTGATTCAATTATTAAGAATTTGTATGTATTCAAAATATTATTGCCCATTTAAGATTTCTCTTCAATTATAGAAAATGCGGTGCAAACACATTGGTAATAAGTGGCTCGTTTTCTATAAATACAAAGGCTGAGATATTCCAATTTAAATATTTTATTAATCGTTGGGGACAGACTTGCTTTTTTATCATACTATTTGTTT